CGCGCCGCTCCCGCCGCGCTGCTCGGGCCCCTCGCCCTGCTCGCCGCCCTCTCCCTGGCTGTGGAGCACGTACCGATGCTGCTGTGGTCAACTCAGAGGTAAGAAATCTAATGGAAGAGGTCTCAGCTCGTGCTGCCGCTCCGTGGGTGCGCAGGGCGGCTTGTGTATCATCAGTTGTGGTAAAATAACCTCTAGGCAGTAAAATTACCCGATAAATAAATTTATCTCTCAGCAACTGAACGACTTAACAGATGAATTTATCCTGTTTTTTCAATTTATATTTATATTTAATTTCTAATTTTAGTGTTGTGATCTGGGCAGTAAGAAGTAAATAAAACCCATCGATAGGCTTTGTTCCCACTAAGGCAACCCCGAACTCCACTGCTAGAAATGTTGTGACTTAAAGGCACAACATCTGGCAGTCTCACAAAAAGGAGCTGACCAGAAACTGTGTGGGCAGCCCTAATCCTTGCATTTCCTAGGTCCTGAATCCTGATTTGCCACTTCAGTGTTCTTTTTAAGACAAGTTTTTAGTAGGATGCCCTGCTGTAGGTATAGACATCAGTTGTCACAAACAGCAGAATCTTCACAGATCCAGGGACATGTGAAATTCAGGGGTTTGCATGTATTTATGAAATCAGACTGAGCTTGTCTTGAAAGAGCAGGACATAGGCCTTCTTTTTCTCATCAGGAATTTTGTTCATGCAGACTTTAAGGACTGTATATAATTACTTAGGATTTCCAGAAATACAAGAGCTTGGGCAGCACAATAGCTTCAGGTGTGGTACTGGATAAGTAAAGTTGTCAGGACTATGCACCACTTACTCACTAGGCTGTCTCTGTAGGGCATACACATTTTTTTTTCAAAATACAGACATTTGTAAGAAAAGGCTCCTGAGGGACTTACGGGATCACAGGACTGATTGGAAGGGCTAAAGAAAAAGTTATATTCTGACAAAAACCTGGTTTATCTGAACTGTAACCTCATGGAAACTTCATCTCAGACCCTCTGTAACCACAGATCTATTACACTTAGTTCAACAGGCCTGATCTCAGTTGGGTGTTTATGCACTTCTCTAATACAAATAATCCGTAACACCAACAGTATTTAGAATGTGTCACAATCCAGCAGAGTGACTTCATAGCCATAAAATGCTTTCCTGTGCCACGAATGGCCTTAGTGCACAAGTGAACCCTCACTTCTGCTGTAAGGATGAACAGAAGGGGCTACAGTGACGGGGATTCCTGTTTGGTCTTTTTGCTGGTATGACCATGCTGAGTGTGCCTGGTTTTGTGTATGAACTCCTTTGGTCACCAACTCTTGTCAGTTCAGAATGCATGGCGTTCGATTCTTTTGTATGTTTATTGCTTTGTTAATTCCCAAAGTGTTACTTGTGATTTACTCTTCTGTAAAATGGGAAAGGAACCAAACCAATGGCTTCTTGAGAGCTAAGCTAGTTATACTGGATTCACTCTTACTTTTCATGAGGTTTTGAGCCATTCTTCAACACACTTGAGGCACTGTGAATTATCTAGCTGTTACTAGGAATAGAATGAGACTAAATTCTGCTCTCATTTATCCTAGTATAAGTCTTCTGTCTTTAGGCAAGTTTATTAAGATTAGAGTCGGAGAGATAAATCTTGTTAATGTTTTCTTTTTCTTTTTTTTTCAGTTGCTTCTTAATGTGGTAATTTTAAGACAGCAATGGGAGGATTCAGAAATTTTATGAACATCAGGAATTAGATTGATTCTGTTGTTCAGGAGATCTTCCTCCATCTATAGTTCATTACCGACAAGCGTGCTACATTTCTGGTTTTTTTTCGTATGTGATGCTGTAATGATGAGGGCCATGGAAAACAAATGTGTAGGAGGTGTTGATTGTGTTTCTTTCATATGTATTCTGGACATTGCGTCCTTTTCCCAGTAGTAATTAACACCAGCTTTGACATATGTCTGCTCATCTCTTAAGCATTTTCAGAAATTGAACCTCTGGTCCCTGGGGAGCCATAAAGTAGAGAAATCTGAAAAGTTTGATAAAGTTTGATTAAGTTTGTTTTTTTTTCCCCTGAAAAAAATAAATGGATGTTTCAACATCAAGATTTTTTAATATTCAAAATACTTAATTTGTTCACCTTTATACAGCACAGGCACATGTATGACTACTAAACCTCTGTATTTTAAAATAAATGTTGGAAAGAGTTGTTCTTAGGGTAAAAACAATCCTAAGGGTCTCAGCAAAGATCAGTGGTTCATTTGCCCTATTTCCTAGTTTATATAAACAACACACCCGTTGTCAGTACAAGCAAAATATTATCAGTTAATCCAGGGTCATAACAGCAAACTTTCCACCAACAGCAATTAGTAACTTGCTCTACTGCAGATTATTCAGGTTTATGCAAATCTAGAGCAAGAAAATCAGGATAGTGAACGGCTTAAACCCGTTTAATGTTTGCAGGAACAGAACATTTTCTGGAAGAAGTGTTCTGCCAACCGTGACCTTTACAGTTTTGAAAGGGGAAGTTCTTGTGAGGCAGTCATGATCAAAGTCAGCAAAGCAAGGGGAAAGAAGATTTTTGTTATTTTGTAAAATAGGGAAATGGTAACAGTAGCTTTTTGCTAACACTTTACTCCATGATTTACATCTTGGTGCTTTGCAGGGTTTGCAGTGTGTGACCTACAGGTTTATGAAGTCTGGAAAATACGAGTAAGAGTTTTAGGAAGGGTAACTAAAGAAGTGCAGGAATTATCAATGGATTTCTGTTCACTTCATGGAAACATGTACCACCCATTTTAACCTTCAGTGATTTATTGGTCATCAGAAGCTGAGATTCACCAATCTGTTCCATCACCCTCTCCCAGCTTATCTGTTAGGATATGGTATCACAGAATCATAGAATGGTTTGGGTTGGAAAGGACCTTAAAGATCATGTAGATTCAACCCCCCCTGCATGGGGTTGAGTATACCTTCCACTAGATAGGGTTGCTCAGAGCCCCATCTAACTGGCCATTGAACATTTCCAGGGATGAGGCTTCCACAGCTTCCATGGGCAACCTGTTCCAGTGTCTCACCGCCCCTTATAGTGAAAAATTTCCTCCTAATGTCCAATCTAAATCTACGCTTTTCTTGTTTTAATCCATTACTCATCCTCTTGCTACAAGCCCTAGTAAAATGTTCCTCCCGAGCTTTCCTGTAGGCCCCCTTCAGGCACTGGAAGGCCACTATGACGTCTCCCCAGAGCCTTCTTTTCTCCAGGCTGAACAACTCCAACTCTCTCAGCCTTCATAGGAGAAGTGCTTCAGCCCTCTGATAACCTTCATGGCCCTCCGCTGGACTCACTCCAGGAGCTCCAAGTCCTTCTTATGTTGGGGGCTCCAGAACTGAACACAGCACTCCGATTGAGATCTCATGAGAGCAGAGTAGAGGGGGAGAATCACCTCCCTTGACCTGCTGACCACACTTCTTTTGATGCAGCCCAGAGCCCAGGACACAGTTGGCTTTCTAAGCTGCAGGCACATATGCCTGTCCATGTAGAGCTTCTCATCCACCATCACTCCCAAGTCCTTCTCTGGGCTGTTTTCAATCCATTCTGCACCCAGCCTGTATTTGTGCTTGAGATTGCCACAACCCAGGTGCAGAACCATGCATTTGGCCTTGTTGAACTTCATGAGGTTGGCATGGGCCCACCTCTCAAGCCTGTCAGGGTCCCTCTGAATGGCATCCCTTCCCTCCAGTGTGTCGACCTCACCACACAGTTTAGTGCCATCAGCAAACTTGCTGAGGGTGCACTCAATGCCACTGTCTATGTCTCTGACAAAGATGTTAAATAGCACCAGTCCCAGTACTGACCCTTGGAGAACACCACATGTCACTGGTCTCCATCTGGACATCCAGTCACTGATCACCACTCTTTTGAGTGCAACCATCCAGCCAGTTCCTTACCCAATGAGTGGTCCGTCCATCAAATCCATATAATTCCAGTCTGGATACCAGGATGTTGTGTAGGACAGTGTCGAAGGCTTTGCACAGGTCCAGGTAGATGATGGTTGCTCTTCCTTTGTCCACCGATGCCGTGACTGCATTGTAGAAGGCCACCAAATGAGGCAGGATTTGCCCTTGGTGAAGCTGTGTTGTCTGTCACCGATCACCCCTTTCTTTGCCTTAGCAGAGCCTTCAGGAGGATCTGCTCCATGATCTTTCTGGACACAGAGGTGAGACTGACTGGCCTGTAGTTCCCCGGGTCTTCCTTTTTTTTTCCTTCTTGAAAATGTGAGTTATGTTTCCCCTTTTCCAGTCAGTGGGAACTTCTCCAGAATGTCAAGAATTTTCAAGAGGACAGAGACTTTGCATTTTCATTGGCCAGTTCCTTCAGGTCCTGTGGATGATGCTCACAGATCTATCACAACAGCTACAGCTTTGCATCTTGCTTGGTCATTGAAGTTGAGAGTGAAGTGTGCAAGTTCAAAGTAAAAAAATAACAAATCTCAGTATTTCACCTTATGCTTAAAGGGTGTGCAGATGTCTGTATAGATCCAATAGAAATATTTGATTTTCTTTTAGCATTACATCAACTTGCATAGCTGCAAATTGATACCATCAAGTTACCTGTCTGCAGAACTCGGTTATAATTTGACAAGGGTTTTTTTTTGTGTTAGACAATTCAAAGGGATATCTGCCCAAGGGAGGGGCCCTGAAGAATTGCCAGGGAAATGCACCACTGAAAGCAGGACAAAGTATTTCGGAAGACTCTGTCAAAATACTGGGGAAAAAAACCTCATAACATCCAGCTGCCCCTGTTTTGAAACTCTTCAAACAAATACCAAACTGCTGAAGCACACCTCCTAAATTCTCTGCTATGGCTCTGATGGTTACATTTCAAACAAGTCAATTTCTAATTTATATAATTTTAACTTTTTAAAAGTTTTCATTAGGATAGCAAATCAGTGAGGGAAGAGATCCACCACATGGTCTTATTTTTGTTCAGAGTCTGGAAAGACCCTCCTGCCAAGTCATGAGGTTCAGACTGGACCCCCTTGCTTTCTAAACTTCTTCTCAGAGAGGAATCTGGGTAAAGCTGGATCCAATCTTAGCCCCCAACTGTAAGGGCAAGCTCAGACCCTCGGTTCTGCCACAGAGTTGTCCAACATTTAAATATCTAGCAGCAAGAAAACCCAGTATGAACTTTAATTGCCAACACTTTTGAAAAGGCAAAAAAACCCCAAAACATCACATCCCCAGTGCTGCAATACATAAGGCTACCAAAAATTATTGGCCCATTTGTTAATACTTTTGGAGAGGAACACATTTATGTCTCAGCTGCTACAACTGAGAAACTAAATACCAGCAACACCATCAATATCAAATAGTTGAAGGATGGTACATACTGCTCTTTAGAACTAGCCAGTGTTTGTAAATCCATATCTCAGAACAGCTATATCAGAAGAATGTAACACTTTAAAGTCTCTCTTCTATGCATTATTATTGTACTGGAATAATGCTACTAAAGATAATGTTAGATGTCACATACAGATGAAACCTGCAACTGACAGACAAATGCAGTGAGCAAAGGATAAAGGCAGTGTGATACAAATCCTTGCAGGGGCATTAGTTAATCAAAAAGTATTTTCTACCAAACAGCAGTCTTTCTCTGTTAAACTCAGGAAAAAGTGGGGATAACTCAATAGACCTGCTTTTAACAAACTAATACTAATGTATCAGTGAACATAACCAAAAAACTTTGACCTGGAAAAATGAACCTTTATCTTAAGTTAGCCTTTAAACTAATAAATGCTGGTAGAGATGTAGTAGAGATGAAAAGGTTCCTCTTGCATATGTTACACAGAACATACTTGATTTAGAGATTTTGAAGCAATGTTCAAAAGAATTTCTTTTCCTCTATGTGTTAAGAGAGAGAGGCCAAGGAAATAAATTCATTAAAACTAGCTTTGCTCCCTCGTGTGTCTGTTTTAGGAATGATTTTTGCCTACAGTCACTGAAAATATATTACTACCTTCATTACTGCTCTGCTTGTATTGGGAAATGAATAGTTTTTGTGGCAAAACCAGATTATAAGTGACTTTGAGAAGGTATTTGTACCAAATAGTATATTTGCAGTATTTCTTAAAGCTGCAAGGATTTTGGAGAAAACTATGCTGAAAGAAGGTGGAACATAAAAAGGATACAGTGGAAACAGAAAATTGGTTTAGCTGTAGTTTTATTAGATTTCTGTGGAGATATTGTGTGCTAGCATGCTTGAGTAGCATTTTGATTTTTTTTTCCTATAATCATGAGTTTTCATTCTACTGCTGCTCCTAATAATGGCAACGTGAACTTTGTGTGAAAAAGAATGGAATTTCAAGGTCAGTTACAAATTTTTTTTATTAGCTTGCTTAGTTCTGCTGTGCAGGAGAAAATGTTATTTCTTAACTGGTAATCACAAGGGGTCTGAAAGAGAAAATGACAAGAAAGGAAAGGGTTTAGAAGCCAGCTACAAAGCAAGAAAGTAAGCTCACAAGTTAGAGTGATAGAAGTCCTGTTATCTTATCATCTGCCCTTCTGGGAGGTCCAGATACAAGAAGTCTTGAAATCTGCTTCTATCAAAAGTGCTCGAATCCAAGTTCTACCTACAAAAAGGTCAGAGAAGTATCTGTATGCTTAAACTTGTCATGCCACAGCAGTTAGGGACAAGAAAGAGGCAGAATACTGAGCTAAGCTTTCTTTCCTTTCTCTAGTGCTTTTTCTGGCTCTTGGAGGAAAGAGGGTCCAATGGAGTTTTACTCTTCCTCCTTTTTAGCCAGCTGGAAACTACATTAGCAGAGCTGCTCATCATTATAAGCCCCCACAGCTGAGGACCTCAGGGTAGTTCCTTGGTGAGGAGGTTAAGCCTGATGTGCTTTGCATGTAGGTGACTGCAAGGGCTGTGCATCTTTGGACATAAATTTTGTGTCAGCAATCAATAGTAGCAATCAATACGTGTGTTGGCCTACTGCCTGTTTCATTTTATGCCATCCCTTACTGATCTCTTGCTGCCTGCTTGAGGTGAAGCACTTAAAGGGGTGGACAAGTTCATTGCATTCAGTAGAGGATTCCTTCAGCTTATCCACGGTACCAGTGGCAGTCGTTTATCTCCATTTCACTCTGCAATTCACCATAAACCAGCAAGTAGAACTTACTAATAATTCCCATCTGAACTGTGGTGAGAATATCGTTGCATCCAGCTGACAGCAGCAAGGGTGCAGCCTTGCCTGTATACACTGCCACGTATAGTACAAACAATTTAAAAGAAGCAAAATGACTGTGTGTATAACATGGTGAATATAAGTAGTAGGCAAATGCTGCATTAGAATGGAATTAGTAACTAACCAAGGTAATTTATTTTTCTGATGATGATGCTGGAGTTACTAAAGTTGACTGCATGGGAGTAAAGAAGTCTCACAAAAGGTGCTTTTCAAGGTTAGGTATCAAGAGCTGCTTCAAGGATTAGGGAACACTTTACAAGCAAGTATGTTTGAAACAGGAAAATTAAACTTCACAAGTTTTGAGTTCACAATGAAAGCCTTTGCCATTGTGCTGCTGCAAAAAACTTAGTTTTGTTTCCTGTGTGTTACCTGGTATCATAGAATCATAGAATGGTGTGGATTGGAAAGGATGTTAAAGATAATCTGATTCCAATGCCCCTGCATGGACAGGGACACCTCTCACTAGACCAGATTGCTCCCTCCCAGTCCCATCTTACCTGCCCTTGACCACTTCAGGGATGGAGCTTTCACAAGTTCCCTGGCCAACCTGTTCCAGTGTCTCACCACCCTCATAGTAAAGAATTTCCTCCTAATGTCTAACCTAAATCTTCCCTTTTCAAGTTTTAATCCATTACCCCGTGTCTTCTTGCTACAAGCCCTAGTAAACAGTCCCTCCCCAGCTTTCCTGTAGGCCCCTTTCAGATACTGGAAGGCCACTATGAGGGCCAAGATTGTATTTAAATATTTGAGATCATGAAGTTTGACTTTTCTGAAAAGTTGAGGCTTGTCTGTTACAGTTTTAGGTTATTTGGCTTCATAAATATAAATCAATATGGGTTTCCAAGCATAAGTTAACAAAGAAGTGAAGATGCTGAGCAAAACCAAGAAACTATCAAATAATAATTTCTACCAACCAGAAAAAAATTCTTTCAGGCACAGCAGGGTTTACTTCTAAAGCTTCAAAAGTGACAGACAGAAGATCTGCTAGAATTTAATTTCAAGATCCACAGCAGGTTGTCATGAAAGAGTCTTCCACATGTACCGTTTGCTCCAACATGCTCCCAAAACCCAAACTCTAAGGGGAGCCAGGTATCTAGCAGTGCAGGACTGCAGTGTTTTTATCTCTGCTGTGGGTGCAGTTGGAGGCTTTCGATTTCTCTCTCAGCAATTTTCATTGGAATTACTGGGAAGCCTTGAATCAAAGTACAGATTTTCCTTATCTGAGAAAAAATACCACATTGAAACTCCCCTAAGTGTTCATTACCAGTGTTCTGCCTTCACCTTAAGAGACTGCAAAGAGGATTTTTATTCATAAAAGCTTGCTGTGTGAGGGTCATTTTCAAATTGCTTTTGGGTTAGAAAACTTAATAAGCATCTCAACTTCACCATATTGCAATCATATAATAGCTGATGCTACAGCACACAGCAATTTTCTCTATTCTATCCTTCCTTAATTAAAACGATCTAGAGGGTCTGGAATACCTGATTGCTCAGGCCTTAGCATCTAATATGTGTTTGGGGAAGATGGGAGATTAAACTTCAAGCTCTGGGTTTTCTACAGAATGACAAGACATCTAGGGCCAAAATTTCCATAATAAATTTTATCCCTACAGACCCATGTTGCATAGTGTTCAAATCCCAGTGAGGTGTTGGAAGAATAATGCCCATAAATGTTTTTTATAGTAGTAAAACTAAGTAGATGAGTAATTTCTCTGTCCAATCCTTTTAATGTCAAGTTGGAAAATAATTGTAATCTGGAGTGTCTTGAGCTGTTTGGCTCAGAAGAATTCCTGCTTTTGGGAAGGTGGATTTTCTGATCTGCTTCTGCTGAGTGGTTCCCTCATCATGAAGACGTTAGGAGAAAACATACTGTTTACAATAGCACTGAAAAGCCACTTTTATTTAACTGAAGATTGAATATGAAATATGAAAAATACTGGTTTATGATAATTTGCAGTCTGACCTGAGTTCTCTTGCCACCAAGATGTCTGATGGCATTGGAAAATGTTTTGGGAGCTGGGAAATTCCCTTTTGGAAATTCTCTTGGAGCATTTTCAACACATTGATCTTCATTCCACTTAGTAGCTAATTTTTTGAAAGATTAAACTGTACTGTTGTACACAA